CGCTGAGCCAAACAAGCCAGGGCTAGACCACATAATCTTATTTTATTCAGCTCTTAGTACAAGAAGAGGAAGAAATAATGGAGAGAGAATGAATTACACTCTCCGTCTCTACAATTCAATGATTATAAAGGACCCAAGAGCCCTGGCCGATTTGGCTCAGTGGTAAGAGCGTTGGCCTGCGGTCCGGAGAGACCCGGGTTCGGTTCCCGCTAAGGGCACGTACCTCGGTTGCAGTTTGTCCCCGGCCCTGGTTGGGTCGTGCGGGTGGCAGCCACTCGATGTGTCCCTTTCACGTCGATGTTTCTCTCTCTCTCTCTCTTCCTCTCTCTCCCTCCCACTCTATCTGAACAAAAAATGGAAAAATGTCCTTGGGTGAGGATAAAATAAAATTAAAAATTAAAACTTAAGAGAGTGGATGTACTATTTTGTTTGCCTTATCTTTGAATAAAGAGAAAGCAAGAACACGACAAAGCTATTTTTCATTATTTGAGACCTCTCCATGCATTTGTTTAAAGGCAAATGAGTTACAAGAGACCTTGGGCAGTGTCAGTAGGCATTGATCTGCCCCTCCCTTTTTTTTGGTGAGTATATGGCTAAGAAAAGAATGGACAGATGCATACTAAATTTGGCTTTAAGAGTGATGGATGCAGAACTTATGTGTAAAGATGTGTGGTTAAGTCATACATAGTGATACACTTATGAGGTATCCTGCAATACTGAGGTTGAGAAATAAAGCTTGTTAGAAATTCTTGTCAGTGGACCATTCATTAATTCAGTCATTAAACCAAGTTCAAAAGCACATGACCAGCATTAAAAAAAAAATAGAAGGATAGAAATATGAAAGTAGGTATTAAACTGGTTGAACATAAGCAGTTGCTATTCTTGTAGGTTAAAAACAGTCACATTTGCAGTTTCATGTGGTTCAACCTAATATGTGTGTATTGATCTCAGTGAGATGCACTGATCAAAGAGATTGGTTCAAATCCAAATGCAGAATCTAGGGAGAGCAAATCCCAATAATGAGGCCATGTAGATTGCCCATTTCCTCTGGCGTTCTGGAATAAATTGGGGCAGATTGAACTCATGGGGAATTCAGAACATTGCCTGGTAGTGAGTTAGGAAAGCTGGTAACATTTAATGCAAAAACAGATGCTTGAGAGCTAAGAGATGCTGGTTAGTGCATGTTTCTGTGTTTGGTTAACAGTTAATTACTTTAGTAGTAGGCCCAAGTGGTGAGGAGCAACTTCCAGATTTTGAGTAGGTTGCACATTGCATTTTTTTTTTTTTTTACTTTTTTTTCTTTATTGATTTTTAGAGAGAGAAGAAGGGAGAGGGAGAGAGAGATAGAAACATCGATGAGAGAGAACATCAATGGGCTGCCTCCTGCATGCTCCCCACTGGGGATTGGGCCCACAACCTGGGCATGTGCCCTGACCGGGAATCGAACCAGCGATCTCTTGGTGCATGGGTCCACACTCAACCACTGAGCCACACCGGCTGGGCATACTTTGCATTCTTTTTTTTTTTTTTTTATCCTCACCCGAGGACATTTTTCCATTGTTTGTTCAGATAGAGTGGGAGGGAGAGAGAGGAAGAGACAGAGAGAGAAACATCAACGTGAAAGGGACACATCAAGTGGCTGCCACCCGCACGACCAACCAGGGCCGGGGACAAACTGCAACCAAGGTACGTGCCCTTAGGGGGAACTGAACCCGGGTCTCTCTGGACCTCAGGCCGATGCTCCAACCGCTGAGAATGCAACGTGCCCTGGCTGATCTTTCTCTCTCTCTCTCTTCCTCTCTTTTTCTCTCCCACTCTAGCTGAACAAAAAATGGAAAAATGTCCTCGGGTGAGGATAAAAAAAAAAAAAAAAGAAAACAATGGGATTCCAGTCCATATTAAAGCAAAATTAGTAAGACTTTAAACATTTTCTGACATCTTCTATTTATTTAAAAAAATATTTTTTGTTAATCCTCACCTGAGGATATTTTTTCATTAATTTTTAGATAGAAAGGGAGGGAGGGAGGGAGAGAGAAACATCCATGTGAGAGACACACATTGACTGTGTGTATGTATATATATATTCTGTTGTTGTTGTTAATCCTCACCCAAGAATATATTTTCTAAATTAACCCAGAGACATGGAGGTGGGGTACAGGCTGAGAAGCCTCAGAGGAGGGGGTGTTTGTGGGGGAAGGGACAAACCACAGAACTTACATGCATGTATGCATGACCAATGAACATAGACAACAAAGCTGGGGATGGGGTTAGGGGGAAGGGGGGGAGGAGGGTGTCAATGGGGGGAAAATGAGAAACATCTGTAACAAAAACAAATTAATAAATAAAAAATTTAAAAAAAAGAAAACATTAAAAAAAGAATATATTTTCTGTTGATTGTTTTTTAGAGAATGGCAAGGAGGGATGGAGGGGGAGAGAGAAGGAGAGTGAGACACATGGTGGTGAGACAGACACATCTATTGGTTGCCTCCTGCATAAACCCCGACTGAGGCAGGGATCGAACCTACAACCAGGCATGTGTCCTTGACCAGGAATCAAACCTGAAACCCTTTGGTTTTCAAGCCAATGCTCTACCCACTGAGCCACACCAGCCAGGGCATCCCCTTTACTGTATATATAATATATATATATATATATATATTTATTTTAATATGTTTTTAATTTATTTTTAGAGAGACAGAAACATCAAGGAGAGAGACACATGAATTTACTGCCTCCTGCACACTCTCCCTAGGGATCAAGCCCACAACCCAAGCATATGCCCTGACCAGGAGTCAAAATGGTGACCTCTCGGTCCATGGGTCGCTGCTCAACCACTGAATCACACTGGCTGGGTCCCTTTACTGTATTTTGAAAGCAGAAACATATAGGGTAGTGGTTTTTTATTCTTTTTAGAGAAGAGGAAGGGAGGGGGGAGAGAGAGAGAAACATCAATGTGAGAGAGATACATTGATTAGTTGCCTCCCACACAACTCCCAGTGGTACCAAAGATCAAACCTACAACTCAGGTAGATGACCTCGACTGGGAATCAAACCCATGACCCTTTGGTCTGAGGGCTGATGCTCTAACTGCTGAGCCAAACCAGCCAGGGCCTGACTCTAAGGTAGATGTTCACATTGCCCTATTCTTTCGCATCTTTTGACCCTGATTTGTGTTGATCTTTTGGACAAAATGCAATTTTATTCATGTCCTACTTTCAGCTGAGTTGGTCATCTGGAGCAAAGGTTATAGCAGAGCTACGAATTATATCTGTTTTACCCCAAATCTCCATCTTACAGCAGCAAGTGGAGTGCAGTGATTTTAGTCAAAACCGTTACAGTACATGATCCAAGTAAATAGGAAGGTTAGTTATTACAGATGTTTCTGGCAATTTTTTTTTTATCCTCACTCAGGGATATGTTTTTATTGATTTTTTTAGGGAGAGAGGAAGGGCAAGAGAAACATTAATGTGAAACCTCAATGGGTTGCCTCCCATACATGCCCTGACTGGGGATCGAACCTGCAATCTTTTGGTGTACAGGATGATGCCCAACCAACTGAGCCACCTGGCCAAGGCTCTGGCAAGTTTCCTTGAAAATACAATGAATGTGCCAAACAGGTCTGCCTAAAATGGCCCTATTAATCTGATGTCTGTGTTACATAAAATTACTCTTCTTCATAAATCAGTGTAGATTAAAAGGGTTCTCTTGCAGCTGATTTTTACCTTTGAAGCAGAGGTTCTTGGCACAAGCTTTATGTGAGAATTATCTGTTTCACTTAAAGATATCATAACTGATCCCCTAATTGACCCAGAGATGTCAATTTAGTAGATGTCAGGTGGAGATTGGCATTTATTTGTATTCCTTAAAAAGCTCATAGGTAATTCTTTGTGCTGTCAGGGCAGGCCACCTCCAAGAGAAAGCTTTCATTTACTAAGTACAACTTAAAATTCTTAACCCCATTTTACAGATGAAACAGGGCAAGACATGAACCATGTCTTCTGGAAGAGAACTTATCTGTGGCTTTTCATGAGAGCCCAGAAGAGTGGTTAACCAAGAATACAAACTTCTGCCTTTAAGGAGGAGGCCATGCAAAGAGGAAAGTCGCTCGATTTTTATGGAAATACTGAAAAGAGATCTGCCTTGAGGAAACACGCATGCTTTCCTACTATGATTTTGTCATTCCCGAGCCCTCTAAGTGTGTCTACATTTGTTGCAAGGATAGATTTACCCAGACAGGTGGAAGAGTCATGACTTAAGGGTATAAACAGCTGCAGAGCTCTGGGATAGTCTTGGTAGCAAGGGATGTGGCCATTCCCAGCCGCCAGGCATTAACCAGCCTTAGAACAGGCCCTCAAATGGGAACGACTGTAATTTTGGTCTAGTGCATGCACCGCCCATAACAGCTAAATAGTAACGTTAAAATGTAAAGAATTTCCCGTCATTTTAAAAAGAAACATCTTGGCATGCTTTCTGTTGCTGACACATAATGCTACTGCTTTGGGATAGTCAGGTTCCCACACGAGGTGCCCCGTAGATATTCAATGAATGTCAGTTTAGAGCAGTCATTTTCATCCCTTAAGGAGCACGCCCTTACTAGTCCACCAAAAGTAAGGCAAATAAGCATATGGTGACGACCAATCTGCCCTGCACTGGGGGTTCCAACTTGCCCAGAGCGAGCTTTCCCTTCTGTCAGGTAACTTTTTTAAGTGACAGCGACATAATTCGTACCCGGCGCGGGGCAGGTTTGTCCTTTGTCCAATCATCTCCGAGATTTTTCGGTGGGGGAGGGGGAATCTCTCTAGTCTAGACCTTCCCCGACCAGGAAGCGGGCGGGTTTAGGTTGAGCCGGGACCGCCACAGCCAGTCGTGATGCAGCACGATGCTTGGCACTTCAGGGGACCAATAGGTACGAAGAGAGCTGTTTGAATAGGCCAATACCGGCAGGGCGGGGGCCGGGTTTACCAGCCCTATAAAGGCGGCCGCCGGCCAAACAGGCGGTGGCGGAGGCTTCGGCTGCGGTCGCCGTCGGTGGGGTGGGCATCTGCTCTGCGCCCCTCGGGCCGGGTCCTTTCAGCGCTCTGGTACAGCGCTAGCCTGTCTCGCTCCTCGGCGCCATGACCACCACCACTACCTTCAAGGGCGTCGACCCCAACAGCAGGAACAGCTCCCGGTGAGACGGCGGGTCCGCGGCCGTGCTGCGCGGGACTTGGGGTCGGGAGGGCCGCTGCCCGGCGGGGCCACGCGGGCCAAGCAGCCGGTCGTTGGCGGTAACGTGCCTGGGGCGCCACGCTTACGTCTGGTCGGGCGGCGGTGCTCGGCTGTCGGCCCCGCCTTTGTGCCTCCCGGGGCGCCCGGTGTGCCGGTCCCGCCCGATTCCCTCTCCTCTCATTCATTCCTGCCCCAGAGTGAGGGCACAGGAGGGCCGGGGACGCTCGCCTTCCTAGCGCAACGGGTTGTAAGTTGGGACGTGCCCAGAAGGTTTGTGCGCTCCCCTTTTTGGCGTGGTCAGCCCGGCCCCAGGGCGGTGGTCTTAGCCCTCGGTGCCCCGACAGCCTACAGGGCGCCTCGGCCCGGCCCCATTGTCCCACCCCTGGGCCACGCGCTCCTGTCACTGGCCCGGGGCAGGTGGTGGCTGTGCGCTCGGCGTGGTGGTCAGATTCCGCGGTCGCAGCGATCGGGTCTGGCCAGCTCCTACTCACTGGGGCCGGTCTGGAAGGTGGCATTTGTGCTCAGGCGGGGGTGGTCATCGCGACCCCCCAACTCCTTTCCAGGACCCAGCCGTCAGCCCTTTGCCAAGTGCCTCCTCTGCGCTAACAAAGGAAAGATCTCTGCTCCTTCCCCTCCCGCGCCCACCTCCGAACCGGAGAGGGAGTGTGCCAGTCCGAGTGGGTTTTTCTGTGCCCAAACCTTCCGACCTCGGTCTTTAAATCCCCACCTCTTTTGCTTCCCCCTTTGACGTCTGTTAAATGAGTTCATCTCTGGCCCCAGTTCTCTTGCTGGAGGAGGTTTCCTGTTCTTGGGCGGGGCCGGAGACATCCATTGTCTCTTCCGTATACTATCTCCACTTGGGAAGCCTGGGCCTTTCTGGCCACTCGTGCCACTGCATTTCGGGAAGGGGGCACTGGGCACAGTGTTTGGACTGGGACCCTTTTCCAAGCGGTTGCCTAACTTGGTGGAAGGGTTTGGATCCGGTGGAATATGTCCACATTGTCTTGGCTAATTGCACACTGCTCTTTAAGGTGGGACACAGGCATCTCTGGGATCCTTGCTTGCTCAAGGCTTGGAGGAAGGTTAGACTCCACTTTTTCTGGACAGCTATTCTTTGTTGATGGTGACCTGCAGTCATGTGTAGCCAGCCTTGGGGTCCTGAGCAAGTGGCACAAAGGGAGCCATTTTGTGGGGCTAAGAAGACAGCCGTGAAATAGCAGTGTCTCATAGGGGTTGGAGAACTTGGGGACAAAAGCAGGCCTCAGCAGTGAATATTAGTAGGGAGCTTTGAAAATGACATTCCTTTTTAACTCATTATTTCCCCCTTTCACAATGTGGGAAAAAGACAGGAAATATTTTAAAAAACTAAATTAGTGGTTCCTGGGTGGGTGGGGAGCTTGGGTAGTTAAGACCTACGAACATACAGAAGAGGGTCACTCCCTCCGTTGTCATCCTTCCAATGAGATCATTTTTTTCAAAGGACACTGGGACACATTGAATCCTAGTTTTCCAGTTTGTGCCATGGGGCCAACTTTCTGCAGGTCAGAATGTAGTGGTTGGAATGTTAATATGTGAAAAATCTGAGGTTTTATCCTTTGGGGTTAAGTGCGATTTAGTGCTTCATAAAGAATTTTGTAACCTGGTCAGATGTATCCTCACACTAGTTTTTTGATATGTATATTTGAAATGTGAGAAAGAAATGAGTTTTGGTTCTGCAAAATAAGTGTTTTAATTCACCTTTAGTAATCAGTTTTTCTCCAGTATTGTGATCTCAGGACTGGAGCATTGTCCTTTTATTTACTTCCTACCTTTCCTTCTATAATCTCACCTAAGGCTCCTAAACTTCTTTTCTCCAGTAACATTCTCCTAGCTCCATAAACACGTTATCAATTTAGTCTGTTAGGAAATGGTCTGCAAAGATCATATGGGATCTTTAGGATTTAAAGAAAGAAGAAAGAAGAAGTAATTTTAAAAATTGTTATCTGCAGTACACGGAGACATTTTTGTTGAGGCTCAGATATGTAATCCTGATTTAGTTATCATGTGTGTAGCTCAGAAGGAATAGTAGGGCCTTAAAAAGTAAAATGGGTATAATTTCTGTCTTATAATTCAAATCCTTTGTTTGGGGATGTCTGGCTGTTACAAATGGGCTCCACAACACTGACGTCATTGGAGTAGGTACTACCTGCTGTTATGGGAGGAACACAGACCTTTCAAAAGTTGGAATGGTCAGAGCTTTGACCTTTTTTTTTAAGCTGTTGTTTGGGTACAAGTGTATTTCTTTTTATTTTTTTAAGGCCAAAAAATATTTTCCAGCCCCTTAGGGTTCTGAAGATTTTCATGTGGCTAAAAATTCATGAGGGGTTAATTATGATGGGAAGGGGGAAAATAAAATCACTTTAATCTCTAGGGAATAAAGGGGGAAGACAAAGAAGCAAGTTAACTTTTGGGGTACAAATATTGAAAACCTAGTCACTTCAAACTTTAACACAAGAGAAAGTCTATTAAAAATTTATTACATTGCCCGGCTGGTGTGGCTCAGTGGATTGAGCGATGTCCCATGGACTGAGAGGTCCCCGTTCCATTGCCGGGGGGGCACATGTCCAGGTTTCGGACCTGACCCCCAGTAAGGGGCGTGCAGGAGGCAGCCAATTAATGTTTCTCTCTCACATTGATGTTTCTATCTCTCTCTAAAAAATTAATAAAAACATTAAAAAATTTATAGCATACCTTTCATTATGATTTAAAGTTTAAGTAATTTAAGCTAACCTAAAATTATCATCTTTATAAAATGTATGCCTGAACACATTTATCTTCATATAATGAATTTAATCTAAGTGGATATTTAATATCTGAGATTTAAAAAAAAAATAACAGCCCTGGCTGGTTTGGCTCAGCGGTTAGAGCGTCAGCCTGCGGTCTGGAGAGACCCGGGTTCGGTTACCGCTAAGCTAAGGGTGTGTACCGCGGTTGTAGTTTGTCCCCAGCCTTGGTTGGGTTGTGCAGGTGGCAGCCACGCGATGTGTCCCTTTCATGTCAATGTTTCTCTCCCTTTCTCTCTTCTTCTCTCCCCCTCACACTCTATCTGAACAAAAAATGAAAAAATGTCCTCGAGTGAGGATAAAAAAAAAAAAACAGTTGGATTTTAAGTGTTTGACATGTTATAAAAGAACACAATGGATTCCCCTTCCTCCAAGGGAAAAATAATTACTTTTTTTTCTTTATTGATTTTTAGAGAGAGAGGAAGGGAGAGGGAGCAAGAGATAGAAACATTGATGAGAGAGAAAGAACATCAATTGGCCGCCTCCTACATGCCCCCAACTGGGGATCAGGCCCACAACCTGGGCATGTGCCCTGACCGGGAATTGAACCGGCGACCTCTTAGTGCATGGGTCCACACTCAACCATTGAGCCACACTGGCGGGGCAATAATGACATTTTTATTTGGTGTAAATTTAGTACTGAATTTTACTATGGGAAGACACTAGAGGACCTGTATAAGACAGTTTAAGATTAGAAAACAAGAAAATAATCAAAGCACGAACTTAAAGGGGTTTGTATTTTAAGAGAAAAATGGCCTGTGTGGTTCCTCCTGTGACACACTGTGAGCCCTTGTTATGTGCCTGCCAGGAACTGGGGATCAGGGTTTTGGTCCCCCTCTGTCAGCTAACTAATGTTGGGCCATTTATTTGGAACTTCTCAGGGCCTGACTTGGCTCTCTTAAAAATGAGTCAGGCCCTGGCCGGTTTGGCTCAGCGGTTAGATCTTCTGCCTGCGGTCCAGAGAGACCCGGGTTCGGTTCCCGCTAAGGGCATGTACCTCGGTTGCAGTTTGACCCTGGCCCTGGTTGGGGTCAAGTGGGTGGCAACCACTCGATGTGTCTCTCTCACATCAGTGTTTGTCTCTCTCTCTTCCTCCCTCCCACTCTATTTCAAGACAAATGCAAAAATGTCCTCGGGTGAGGATTTAAAAAAAACAACGAGTTGGAACCCTGGTCAGGAAGCTCAGTTGGTTATAACGTACTCCTGATGCCAAGTTGCAGATGTGATCCCCAGTCAGGGTACACACACATACAAAAGAGGCTGTTGAACTGCTTTTCAACCTTTTTCATCTCATGGCACACATAAACTAACTACTAAAATTCTGGGGCACACAAAATATTTTTTTGCCGATCAGACCAAAAAAAGTAGGTATGATTTTGATTCACACCAAACAGCTATTGTTGTGTTGGCTATTGTCATTTTTTTATTTTACAATCTAAGGGAAGGAGGTCAGTGCCCCTGACTGAATAGTCAGGTATTGCATGTTTTAAAAATCCTTGCGGAATTAACCCAGAGACATAGAGGTGAGGTACAGGCTGACAAGTCTCAGAGGAGGAAGGGTTGTGGGGGGAGGTAAACTACAGAACTTACATGCGTGTATGCATGACCAATGAACATAGACAACAAAGCTGAGGGTGGGGTGGGGGGAAGGGGAGGAGGGTGTCAATGGGAGAAAATGAGAAACATCTGTAACAAAAACAAATTAGTAAATAAAAAGTTAATTAATTAAAAATAATAAAAAAATAAAAATTCTTGCGGGACACAAGTTGCAAATCACTGGGATAGAGCAGAGCTAAGCAAACTACCACCTGAGGGCCAAACACAGATCTTGACATTTATAAATGGTTTAAAACAACAACAAAGCCCTGACCGGTTTGGCTCAGAGGTTGGAGCGTTGGCCTGCGGACCAGAGAGTCCCGGGTTTGGTTCCCACTAGGGGCATGTACCAAAAAAAAAAAAAACAAGAGCCCTGGCCGGTTTGGCTCAGTAGTAGAGCATCAGCCCACAGACCAATGAGTCCCGGGTTTGATTCCAGCCAAGAGCACATACAGTTCATCCCCCAGGGTCGTGCAGGAGGCAGCCAGTCGATGTGTCCCTCTCCTGTCGCTGTTTCTCTCCCTCTCTCTCTCTACCTGAAGAT